AGGGCACCGAGAGCGCCACAATCCCCCTGCACACTTCCGGGTGGTGGGAGGCGATGGCCCACAGAGGACCGCAGCCCCAATCGTGGCCTATCCAGATGGCGTCCCGACGACCGAGAGCGTCGTGTAGAAGTTCAATGAACTGCGGCACCAGCTTTTCGAGCGCAAACTCGGAAGGGTCCTTGGACGTCCACGTCCCGCCGTAGCCCGGCATATCTGGAGCGACGACCGAAAAGCCCAGACCGCCGAAAGCGACGAGTTGGTGTTTCCAAGTCGACGCGATTCCCGGCCAACCGTGCAAAAAGAACATCACTGGCCCGTCCGAGGGCCCGGTCGTGAGGTAGGACCATTGTCTCCCCGTCGTCGGCGACTTGTACGTGTTGGTTTTGAGCGTGGCCATGATCGCTGGCTGGGCAAAGTCAACGACACTACTCCACAAGTAAATGAGGTGGTTTACTCTGCAGGTAATTCTCGTACTTGACTTTTTACTTTTGACTCTTGACGACCTCAATATCCTTTATGAGTACAGAAGTGATGTCTCTTTTAGCTGTACATGTACGGAGTAAACACAGAAAATACTTCTTATACGAACAATTGCCTTCTTATATCCTCGCATGTGGTGGTAGATATTGGACCTCGGCTTTTTATACTACAGCCTTTTTATGTTACTCCGTTCTCCGTACACGTCTGGGACAATGATGACATACCTAGGTGCTTCGTATGCATGCACTATTCTACGTACGGAGGACCTACCGAGATAGGTAAGTAATCCTCAGGTTTAGTTAGGCAGCTGACCTCAAGCGTAGCTTTTCTTGCGTGCGTTAACCGGAAAATAGTTTACGAGTACGCGATGGATTAGTGGTTCTCCGATGTACATTGCTATGCTTGAGGATTTATAAGTGACTTCGTATACAGTATTCACAACGCTATGCAAAGGCTCCAACAACGGCCATCAAAAGGGAGCCCAACCCAACAGCGAGACAAGCCTCTATCCTTCGCCGTCCTTTCAAGCTCTCATAACTCTTCTCGCTAAGAAAATCCTCTGCAATGAGCTGTACAAGTCCAGCGAACAACAACAGGCCACTACTAATGGCATTGGTGATTCCAACCATGAGAAGGCCGACTTTGGAAGCTGGATCATATAACTCTCGCATCCATATTCCGATAGCTTGCCCGATGGGTGTTGTCGTTCCGTAGGCGAGCGCCATGAGCCATGGCTTGGGGCTACTCGCGTCGAATAGTTTCGGTATCAAAGCCGCAATGCGGGCTCCCAATGCGAAACCTTCAAATGTCTGGTGAAAGGAGATGGCGATCAGTAAAACAACAAACTGTGTCCCCGTGGCTACCGACACGGCCATGCCGATAAAGATACTGTGAAATAAAATGCCCGCCTCAAGGAGGAGGCACTGAAGAAAGAGTCTTCGGGGATTCTCGTCCGAAGGGGTCGCGTGTCGACGCAATGCATTGTCATCATATTCCGATTCCTTCCTCTTGTGCGGATGGTTTAAAGTAGCAGACTCGTCAGCGATCGGATCCAGCGCATCCAGGTCATCGTCGGAACCCGAGTCGCTAGACATTGAATTCCGCGGCTTTGGTGTCCCGTCATTGTACGGCGTCAGAGGCGTGTCTAGTTGATTGAGCGATATGTGGCCGTTTCCATGAGACGATTCACCTCCTCTGCTGTGCACATGCCTTGGCTCGTCCGGTATTCCCTCCCATTCGTTGCTGTGACTGTGTCCTGCTCCTTTACTGGCGAAGAACATTTCTATCGACACCACCACAAACACTGCGAGCATTGCAATGAAACCAGGCATCGGGCGAAAGTGTTTGCTCCAGAAATCGGGGAGGCAGGGATCGGTCAAGGACGAAAAGGCGGTCGGCAGCAGGTGAATGAACGCGGTCGCGATCAGGACACCGGTGCCAAAGTGTCTGGACAGAAAGAGGAATCGGTGAGGAATAGGTAATTCAGGAAAGCGCCGTGCCACGACTGGAAAGGAACATGCTAGACCGTCGTCAGTGGTAACTATCAAGGAGGACAACCGGCCGGCTTACCCAGCGTGCTCAGTATAAGAATGAGAAACAGGGCGAACACATGGCTGCCGAGATGGTAGGTCTCGTTGTTCTGCGACGATCCACATGCTGGTTTTGTGTCTGTGTCCTGTCGCCTTGCGAGTTCAGCGTGTAGGAGCTCGATCGGAAACCGAGAAATATCGAGATCTGCGGATTATAGTTAGATGTGTCCAGTCGAGATATGTTTGGGCAAGATTCGTACCCCTAGCGAAGACGCTGGATTTTGAATACATCTCATACACTCGGCCTCTGTAGCTTTGACCAGGCGAGCAGTCTATCCATAGACGCGGCGTCCCGACATCAATGGTTGATCGAAGAGTGAATAAGACAATGTGTGAAGAGTTGACACACAGTATTCGCGGCAACGGAGTATTTTGTCCTTTGTTGTAGATCCTTCTCACCTCCGGCTTTACCGGGCGAATTTGCGTCCGATCTCGGTTGGCGCTTCAGCCTTACAATGGCGAGTACTAGTTAGTTCTATTCCGTACATACAATATATTCTACCGTGAACTATGTACGAGAATCTCCCATTCGTTTGGACAAGGGCTCATAAAGGAATAAGAGAGATATTTAGAAGACTAACGATTGTCAGGAATACCTTGCATATCGTCTCAGAACCTGGGAGCACGAGTAGAAAAAAGACCGGCAGAGTAGAATCTAATCTTATCTTGGCGCGACATCTACGATTTTTTTGAGATTTATTCACTGAAAGATTCCACATGACGAGTGCTCGCGACATATATTTCGATGAGTCGAAGGAGACCTTGATCTTGAGCCATTGACAGCCCTCTCTAGCTGGAATGTGGATTCTCTGATATCGCTCCAAAGCTCGTGGCAGACAAAGTCTCAGAAGCCATAAGTATTACATCAACGCACCAACCAATACCTGCACACATACACAGCATAGCCAGGCGTCGAGATGGCGGAGCTGGACTCACTGATTGATTCCATGATCAGCCAGCGCAAGGCTGGAGAGGTCAACTACATCGACGACAAGTATGCCGACACCATCAAGGTCGAGTCAATCCCTTCAAAGGGCCAAGGAGTATTTGCGCAAAGATCTTTGTCGGTTAAAGACGCACTTTGTTCACTGAATGTCCCGACTACGATGGCGATCGATGCAGAATACCTCTCGACGACATGCTATCACTGCCTCATTGTCACATCAACTCAACTGCCCCTCGCACAGGCCGGGACGGCATCAGCGTCACTCAAGGACTGTGGAGGTTGTCGCAAAGCTCGGTTTTGCAGCAGGGAATGCCAGGTGGAAGCGTGGCACGCCTATCACAAATTCGAGTGTAAAATCTTCAAGAAAGTCGCAGACGACTTGCCACCTCCCATCCTCAGAGCGGTTCTGCGGGTTGTTCTGCTTAAAGACCGGAATAAAATACCGGAGGACGAGTGGACCCGCATAAGTTCATTGACCTCTCATGAACACATTCTCGCCGGACGAGGTAGGTCCAACATTACCGACATGGCCGAAGGCATCAAACATCTCGCCGAATCCAGCATGACCGTCGAGATGATACAGAGACTCATCTTCATCATGAGGTCGAACACCATCGAACTCCCTACCCCCATCCACGGCCCCATGGGCGTCATGCTGGAACCTCTCGTGGCCAAATTCAATCACAGCTGCGAACCGAACTTGGCCATCCACAGACCCCAATATACGATGAAGAGCAGGTGGATGAAGTCCGAGCAGCTCTCCGAGGACGAAAGACAGACCTTCTTCCAACTCATACCACTGAGGGATATCCAGCAGGGCGAGGAACTTTGTATTAGCTACGTCGTCCCCACGGTCTCGGTGAGTGCCCGGAGGAAGAAGCTCATGGACGATTACCTCTTCGAGTGCAACTGTCCTAGATGCAAATCGGACATGGAAGCTTCCGCGGAACTGTCCAAAGAACACCCCACCCTACCAGGTCAATTTGAACAGTGGGTCAAAGACGTGGGCCGACACTTGGGACGAGTGAGCAAGGATCCCTCTTCCCTACAAAAGGCTGGGAGCGTCATGGCCAAGTCGGATCGGTTCTACGACTACCCCACGATCTACACGACTGGCGACTATCCCGAGATCGCAATGACCATCATCTTTGAAGCTCTGAAGAGCCAGGAATTTGACGAAGCTCTCGGCAACATCCTCCGCATATACTTTTTGATCAACCCGGCGAGACTGGTTGGCCGCCACAACCCGACAAATCTCTACACGATTTTCCTCATGCTGGACATCTTCGATGTGGTTTTGGGGATCAAGGTACCAACCGGCGCCAACGATGACAAGGTGAAGAAGTGGCAGCAAAGTCTCTCGGAGCGAGGGTTGACCGAGAGCGGATTGATTTATTGGCGCGAGAAAGTCTGTGCGGATCTACGACGGAGACTTGAATCAAGCGCGGCAAAGGATCTGCTGGTCCTGGTTGACGAACGGGATATGCAGGCCAAACAAGTCTCTCAGACTCAGGGCCACGGTGATGAGAAGAAAGAAGGACCCGAGAGTGCCGAAGAGGAAATGAGAGCATTACTGAGAATAAAAGAGCAGAAATGGTCCCAGGTGATGCGACAGAATGGATGCTAGGGAGTGACTTTTCTTCCCTCACTTCGAAAAGAGTTGAGATGTGTACATGAAATGGATCAAATTTCCTCGCTTCCAGCCTTTCATCTTGCCCTTCTTCCGAGCCGTCCACTTGTATTGCTTGGATCGGTTCCTCTTTTGCAAGTTAGACTCCTGTATGCCACACATCTTCGGAGAGTTGCTTTAGATCTCCGAAGGTCAAAATTCTTTCCCGCGTAGTCCTTGTAAACACAAACACTCGTACTCCGCACAAAAGTGCCGTTTTCCTCGGCTTGAAAAAAACAGAAAAAAATTAAATATCAAGTCCCAGTTACAACTATCAAAGTAAACAACCAAAAAAACAAAAACGAAATCTTTCGTATGCCTCCAGCCAGAATTGAACTAGCGACCTTCGCATACCTTGTGCTTCTTTCTTTCGAGTACAAGTGCGACGCGATAACCACTACACTATAGAGGCGAAATTTAAATGCAAAATTTCGGGGTATCAATTCATATTTTAGAAAAAAATCGCTGACATAATCACTAAATGATATCTGATCTTGGCACCTAAACGAGGCTGAAATCTGGATAACTCTCCTTAAACCGAGTCGATTCAACTTCGTCTTCAAACCAGAAAATAAAATAAATTTTCATTACAGTTGCAACAAAGTACGAGTATCTAGCAAATATATTACCTGATCTTTTGCAAGCACGAAATCGAGTAGTTCAACTATCCCTGGTTGTCTACCTATCAGTCGCCCTAAACACATGGTCTCCATGGACGACGCATGTGGAAAAACCGGGGACATGGTGCTGAAGTGTCTATTTTCTGTTCAATGCTTCTCTCTCCCTCCCTTGTTTTGCCAGGATACCTGCAAATGGTATTATGTGGACAAGTAGAACCCAAAGTACGAGTCTCGGGTTTCTAGAATCTCATCTCTTCAGTATATTTATACAATTCTCGACACGCCCAACCATCCACTTATTACTCTGCGCATCGCCTTGCAGCGCTTGTCTATCCAGCCGACCGCCTAGTCATCCATTGTATATATCGCTTGTAAATGCTCCGAGGTTGGTTGCACACAAACGAGGACGAAGCCATGGATATCATGGCGCGAGACGATTGGCCGACAGTGAGCATGAATAGCACGCCTTGGTAGATCGGCAGCTCACGCACTTGCCACTGAAAAAGGCAGCCGCCAGCCACTCGGAAACCGAGACGCACCCGGGGAAACACGAGGCTTCTTGTTACAATGCCGGAGAGCCAATGTTGGAACATCCCTTGCAGACAAATTCCGCTCGACATTGCCGACAATGTAACCCCGGATCTGCTGGTAGGTCTGGCTGTTGAGAAAAACTGTCGATCACCGTAGTTTTGGAGCAGGCGAACGAACCGACCTCAGCACTCATGGCTGGAATTTTCATGGGAATCCTCCATAAAATTCGAATTGCGAAGGAAAGCTCGCCATGTCCTCGTGACTGAACTACTGGAATGACGATGAGGGATTTGGAGGTTCGGAAAAACTCATTTCCACACAGGAGTAGTCATCGCAAAGAAACAAACCATGCGCCAGACTTACATCGGTACACTCTGTACCCTGATCACGTTCCCCCTGAGCACGGCAAGGAGCCCTGAGGTGCACAGTAGTGATGCTCCAAAAGATTGATCGAGTAAAAGTAAAGAAGACCAGGTCGGTACTCATGATTGTCGCAACTGCCACATTCTTCTCGGTCTCTCTCAACCACGCTCTGTAAGGTATAGGTCGATCGAATGTGCGTGAGATGAGTGAAAGTGAAGTTGAAATTTGAAACTTCACAGGCGAACAAACACTCGAGTCCCCAAATTATGAAATCTTTCTCATCCCCTTCATCAAGGTCCAGCCGCTCCTTAAAGACTTCAACCTGTTGATCCCTACTCATACTGCGGGGTTTCGTAGGCATCATCAGTCCAGGAGATGGTGACGGATAAAGGGAACTGGTGTAGAAATCACTACCAGAAGGTGGTCTGAAGGCATCCGAAGAAGACGTTGACCAAGTAGGCCCAGTTAAAGCCTGGCCCTGAGTAGGAGTCCCTGGAGGAAGCTGATACTGGTAACCAGGCGGCATCAAGCGGTAAACACCAGTCCTCTGTGGCGACTAACCAGTAGGGGATAAGCGTGGCTTGATGGGGGCGGCGGTAAAGACGTGTCAACAGAGGAAGCTGCTTGACCCGAGGGGTAGGGGAACACGAGACTCGAAGACCTATGAGAAGGCCCTGGCTGAGAGCCAGAAACAGCCTGGCCCCCACCAACCCTAGAAGGGCCGACAAGGGGGCTGCTTTGCATCGGAGACGAACTTCGCCCACGCCCAACAGGTGAACGCGGCGAGGAAAAGTCGCTCGGGATGTAAATTGGTGCATTCGGGTTCATCGCTTTGAAGATGAAACGGTCAGATCTCTATCGAGCACGGGAATAAAAATCCTGTGCCAGTCACGTACCCCGAGAGGATGTGCCGGTGAACCGTCAAGAATGATTGAGAAGATTACGCTCGCTCTTGAGAAAAAAGGATGTGACTGTACGTCAATCCCTGTGTTTTTGCTCACCACTCTTGTCCGGCAACGCCCCCTTGTCGATCGACTCAGATTTCCAATCCACGATCGAAGGGATATAGAATATCGATTATCGGATCATTACTTCATCCTTCTTCTGCCGTTCATTTGAGCGTTTTTCAGATTCATTTGCCCTTTGAAGACAACAAGACGTTTCGTGCCAAAAAAATAGACCAGATGTAAATGTAGTCTATCGGTAAGGACAGAACAACTACCAGAAACCTTCTGAAAATTCGGTACGCCCAGCAGCAACACTGGCAAAATGTCAGGGCCCAAGGTGTCAACAACATCGAACAGTTCAGTTGACTTCTCTCATATAGGCTGTTGATTGAGGTGAGATTAGCCATATATATATATACATATTTGCCGAAGAACGGTAATTACGGATCAGGGTGGCTCTCGACTCCTGCCTCCTTGCGAAATATGTTATGTTCCGTGCCTCTCATTTGTTAAATAAGCCTTGGTCGTATTCGAGGACAACCTGCGACGCCGATATGCCTGGTCGAGGTGCGAGTCCCATTACTGCAGAATGTGACTGGGTGGTTAATAGGTCGCTATCACCCAGTGGTTTGTTTCCCGAGTGGACGGGAATTACCAGACGCGCCTTGTGGACTCCGTCGTAGTGTCGGCATCGACGTTGCCATCCTCATAGGCAAAGAGTTCTCTTGCCAAAACGACATCATGATTCAATGTCACGACGCGTAGGTATTCTCTCAGATGGACACTGGTCTCGATCTGATCCGGTGTTTCGAGAGAATGCAGCAAGGCAGTAAGGTTCCTTCACTGACAAAAAGACACTATCGGCGTTCGGCCAGGTGAAAAAGGTGGGCCATTTCAGTCTCGGTGTTGTGTGTCGGCGTGCCGGTTAGTAGGATCTTTCTAGCTCCGCCTGCACGTTTCTGTATAGCGTTGGTGAGCGGCTTCATCGTCTTTTTGGCGATATGGGCCTGGTCAAAGACGAACATCGAGACGAGGTCGGCGTTAGTGGCGGCATGAGTTCCTTCATGACTTGGTTCCATGGTGATGACGGTCCTGCTGCTTCTCTGTTAAGACTAATGGTACAACAATGGCCCTTCTGCAGAAAACGAAATCTTTCGTCCTGTGAAAAATGAAGCATGAGAGTTTCTGACCGGCGAAACAAAACCGGCCTCGGCGTCGGGCGGCTGGTTCGTGTAGAGTACATCCCCTCGTTCGTACACCTCGTGAAGAAGTATCTTAAGCCCCAGCATCATCAAGTGCAGTCAAATAGGTTTTGATTCTCGTTGGACTCCGCTTCCGCAACGTACGAATGTCTTCAAGCTGGTATTGTGACAAAGGTGAGATACGGAAAGGGATGAAAGTGATCGGTAGGAGTTGAATATATATATAGGGAAATTAGCCTGCTACTGTTTGGCATGAGCACTGGCCGGGCGGTCTGGAGCCGGCAACGAGATGCTGTCGGAAAGGTGGTCTAGGAGCTTCTGCTGAGATCGGTGGAAAGGGATGCCTTTAAAGAAGTAAAAGTATTCCCAGGCGCGAACCACTTCATATATAGGGGGTATTTGTCATGTGGAAAGAGAAACCCTTCAACGATCTCAGGTGACATGTAGGCTTTTGTTGGGATATCATCCATCAGAAACAGAAAGTAGGAGCAGCTTCGTCGCGGGGTAAAGGCGGCTCCTCACAACGAGCAACAAGAGTCAACGTACTGTATCGAAATCTTCTAGGCGTCCAGTCCGTAGGGAAGTCTCAGTTGTGGCTCATGAATCCTTACCACGACCGCACCAAATTGTGCATATATATATATATATATATAGCCGGGTACTGTGACTTCTTGATAAGCTCATGGCGACCTTAAGTTTCAGGGACCTCTGATAGCCTGATACATGGAGCTGTCGTAGCCGGATTCTTCCTTAGAGTCGGGATCACCTACAGGCCCCTTGACCGGGTCGAGGGCCCAAATTCATACTTGGTTGACGGATAGTTTTGCAACTGAAACATGTATCGAGGTTGCGGTTGGGGAAGACTTGATCTGCAAACGGCTGCCTGGTCGGATCTTCTGAGTCCGGTCGCCGGTTCGCAGAATCCACCTGGTCCGCCATGTCTTGAATTTCCTCCTCGAGTTGCGTGGTCTGGTCCCGGTACAGCTGCATCCGCGGGCCTTGTCGAAGGACCCTTGGCCGGAATTGGCTCCGGCTCTGGAGGATGTCGAGGGCCGCTCTGCAACGACCCAGATCGTCCTCGAGAGCCCGCTGACGAGTTTGCGAGTTCCGTACATGCGCCCGGAGAATTTCCTGGAACTCCCCTACACGTCTGGTCTCGGTGCGGAGCTTCTCTTCCGCCTCGTTCGCTCGCAGTTCCGCAGCCACTGCTCGGTCTCCCCAGGCGTCGGCTTGTATCTTCCTCTCCTCTGCTCGTAGTGCTGCGGCCTTGGCTCGCTTTTTCCGGTCGTTTGATTCCGCTTTCTGCTCACGGTTGTTTCTGTTTGGTAATCAATCGTTTCGGAAACCACCTCCAGCGAGCCATCTTGCTTGAGCAGCGAAGACGGGAGATAATTTCCTCTTGCGAGTCTTAAGGACTGCAGTGTCAGGTCGAAATGCTCTGGCTGTATCGGTTCGTGAGACATTGTAGAAATTCTTCTTCTCCTGCAGCGGTGATGCCCAGGTCCTGGGGATTTCCTAGCTGGCGAGGCTTTTTGCCTCTTCCTTTTACGCCCACGAGAGCAGCAATGCCAGCCTCTTCCTGGACGGCAGGAGTTTCAGAAATGGCTATCGAAGTGCTGCGCTCCAGGTATTCGATGCTTCTTCCACCCATGTTCCTGCCGTCGGCGTTCTGAGGGCAGTTGAACCAGATTAAGATGGTTAACCTTTCTGCCACGATGTGGGACATCAATACCTCGTTAGATTGCATGC